TGAAAGGCCGGGAGAAAGGGAGAGAGAGTCAGAGAGTGGGAGACTGAGGAGAGACAAGCTGAGAAATGCAGCAATTGAGGCTAAATTAAAAATAAGAAATGAATATTGCGTCACTCACTCACACCGATGATGAGCGCATCAGTCCGTTGATATTTTAGTCCTGTCTTACTTTCTATATATATATATATATGTGTGTGTGTGTGTGTGTTTGTTTGCTCAGTATCTATCTATCTATCTATCTATCTATCTATCTATCTATCTATCTAATATTTTCATATCTGTGTATATCTGCACATCTCTCTCTCTCTCTCTCTATATATATATATATATATATATATATATATATATATATATGTATATATAAATATATATCATAATTCTCATGTCTGTCTATCTCTGTTTCTATCTATCTATCTATCTATCTATCTATCTATCTATCTATCTAATACTTATTCTGTCCATATCTTTTTCATGTCTATCACATTCTTTTCATATTTTTGTATCTTGCAAACTTTTCATTTCTATTTCATTATTTTCATATCAATCTCATTATTTTTATATCTGTCTATCTATGTATCTATGTATTTATTTATTTATTTATCTCATTATTATTCTATCTATCTTATTTTTATATCTATCATTCTTTTTTATATCTGTCTGTCTCATTATTTTTCATTATCTATCTATCTATCTATCTATCTATTTTGCTGGATTCATATATATATATATATATATATATATATATATATATATATATCTTTGTCCTATTAGGTGTATATATGTGCATGCACTGGTAGGCGTCACCCCAAAAAAGCAAATGTGTAATATGTTGTCATATGCACGAAATTAGAAATTTAAAATAGCGACAATTTACTTTATATATATATATATATATATATATATATATATAGTTAAGTTATGAAGAACTTGGTAATCACTTCCGTTAAGTTGACCGTCTAAATAGGTCAAAGGTTTTTAAAATGGCTCTGGTGAAATAAATTATCATAATGGTACCTTAAAATGGTCTGTTTTTTTTTAATATATATATATATATATATATATATATATATATATATATATATATTCGCTTAAGGTGTGCTATATTTATGGGATAAAGTGCTCAATGTCAGGGATAGAGCGTGTGTAAGTATAAAAGTGAACATTGAAGTTAATACTTAGAGGCGACAGGCTGTTTCATGTTAGACGCAGTCGTCAGGCCACGATTGCGTCTAGTCTCACGAATTGGTTCATATGTGGTGATTTTTTTTGTTTTTTATCAGAATTATAGCTTGCAGTCTTTACATCTAGGCTGTACAGTCTATCTGCAAATATGTTGTTTGGAAACAATGTAAAACATTGTAATGCTGCAGAAAATAGCTAATTCCTGCTGTCATGTTCTATCTTTATAAGAGTTCGGTCAGACCAATAATGCAGGTTTCCTGATATATGCAGCCTGAACAGAATTCAAAAGTCTTTACGCGGCCTTGTGAGTGATGAATTATTTCCCACCTTGCATCGCTCATCGCACAGATGAAACATTCCCTGTCATTTACTGCTCTATTGCTATTGCTATGGCAAATGTTCTGGTCAATTAAATCCTTTAGTTCTACCAGCTCAGTCCTTCACAGAAAACACCATGCCGTGCCAAACCATCTCCATTCTCTCCGAGTTCCACTCAGTCACTCCCGCTAAACTTTTACTTAGTGGAAAAAACTCCCGAGAGAATGCTTCCCCGAAAACTACTCCCTTAGTCTCTTTAAGTCCAGGATCAACGAATATCTATTCTACTCGTCTTCCTAATACTCTCTTACTTTCCTCTTCTCTGTCTCTTACAATATCATTCAGTAACTCGAATGATTTGTTTAAAGGCATATCAACTCTTTTATGGGTCATATAATGCCGAAATTTATTTTTTCTTGTGTGCTTGGAAGTAATAAAAATATGATATATGTTATTCTGCTTTCACAACTGATTACATGGTACATGATACTCAGCTTTTGCGCATATACATGTTTATGGGAACCAAATATGTGTGTTTTATGTCGGAGTTTTACAGAAGTTATATTTTGGAATACAGTTTGATTTAAGAAACTGTAGGGTGTCATATGGATTAATGTCTTGAAAGAGTTCTTTCATGTTGTTTGTTTGGTTGATTTCATTTAGCGGCAAATCAACCTCTGTGGGTTATTTAATTGTCAAAATTAAATATTTTGAACGTCGTCAAATACATGCCATCCTCTACAAAGAAAATTTATTCTTGGTCATTTTGCTATAAAAAAAAACTTTGATAATTCTACTATAAATAGTTGTTTTTAATTTCTTTAAATAAAAATCAGTTGCTGTTATTTTTACTATAAAAATGTATTTTTATTCTTTCATAGTATTTTGTTTCGGGGGGTCACTATTTTTCCATAGCTGTGACCCTAACAGGTGCTACCACCCCGGTTCAGTGGGGAACAGGAAACAGTAACAGTTAAGAGTGGTCCACGCTCATAAAAACCTCCAGGTCAGAGGCCTTGCTGCCGGATGTAGTTTATTGCCATACTCAGGACTAATATCACTCAGTAACACTCTAACTTGAGTGGCCCTTGAGCCTTGTATACGACTAACTATCATAAGAAAAATAGCTTTTTATCATAGAGACAAACCCATGTAACAGCATACACTATACTTTCAAGACAAAACGTACCCGGTGTTATTCATGGATATATTTAAAATGTAATTCAGCTAAGACAGTATGTAACCCCGAGTATAAATAGGCTGGGTTAGAATAAATACCCAGGGTTAGAATATACCCACACTTTTTGTTATGTCCCTGCACAGATAAAGGAATAACTTGAGGCGACATAAATGTGATTCTACAGAAGGATGCTGAGAATATCATGGGCTTCACATTTGAGCAGCGCCGAAATTTTACGCAGTACAGTAGAGTCATTTGGGCACCATCTGTAAGAAAAAGAGCACCATGACGCAATTCAAACCGCCAGAAATTTGGAAACAGTATACTGTACTGCTTGGCATTCGCGCCGGAATCTCCAGTAAAAACATTTCAGAGTATTTGGTTGTCAATCTGAAGACAGGGGATTCGGAAAGAGTTGGGTGAGTCTAAATGTGATTACGGGGGTTTTGGAGTGATCACTATTGATGGCGACGTTATGTCTCCATTCATCTTGCTTGCATCAAGTGCCCTGAGGAGGTTGTGCTTTTCTGTGTCAAGCGGGTGGCTGATGGAAGATCATATGTCTGGCAATATGATTCTGCACCATACCACACAAGCAGGAGAAACCAGTCATGACTGTTAGAAATGTTCTGCGACCACATCACCCCAATGATTACTATGGGTGGGGCACAGTTGAGCGAGGGACCAGCAAAACTCTATGTAACATCAAAAATGAACTGAAGGCACGGATTATGGCAGGATTATTAAATAGACCGCCCAGAAGATTTGCAGGAGATTCCGAAGTTGTCTTGAGGCCGGGGTTGTGGTCAATGGCAACTTTATTGCATAAATTTACTCTAGATATTTTTGTGTAATTTTGATTGTGTTATGGGACCTTACCCATAATAACATAATGGACTATTCTATACGTAATAAATACTGCGCCTCAAGAGGAAGCAGGGAGTTCAGCCCGAAGTTGGACGTCCGGCTGACCGGCTGACCGGCTGATCGGTTGAACTCTCTGCCTTCAGGCAGGGAGGAACCCGAAGAAGGCTACCCCGAAGGGCGGAGTCTCTTTCGGGGAGGTAAACCGACCCTGAACCCGTTTATACGGGTTCAAAGGGCATATTTTTGGCCGAGGCCACGGGCTCGGAGATCCAACGTTAAACCGGCCTTGTGCCACATGATGCTCTCGTGGGGGGGGGTGACTAAATACCGTTCAGTCCGAAGTTGGGCGACTGGTTGACCAGCTGAACCGGACCATAACCGATAGATATATCTGTTAAAATGAAATGTCAGTGTCATTTTCCTTTTGGGGTCATTTAAACAATAATTTATCCATCGCCCTTTGTATATAGAAAGTGACAAGGACAAAGGAAAGCATACCTAACTAGCTTGTGTAAATTGTTGGTAAAAGAGGGTTTAGGAAAAATAATAAGACAAAATTTACAGTTTTCATATGCCTTTTCTATAAATATATTCATGGTAATTGTTCTGATAAGCTATACCTGGATTTATAAATTTAAGCGCCGTACTAGATCATTTTACCATTGAAATGCAACCGTAACTTCTATGTTATGTCTATGTTAATAAATTCTTATATTTGCTCATATTCTTTCATTAACTTCTTGCGTCTTAGTGGCTTTATTGCCTTGCTTGGTTTGAAGTGAGTAAAAACGAAAGAGAAAAATAATGAAAAGAAAAATAAAAGAGACGAATATGTATGTAGAAAGAAAGAAAGAAAGAAAGAAAGAAAGAAAGAAAGACAGAAAGACAGAAAGAAATCATGGGCGTATTTAAAAGAAAGAAAGAAAGAAAGACATCATGGGCGTATTTAAAAGAAAGAAAGAAAGAAAGAAAGAAAGAAAGAAAGAAAGAAAGAACTGATTAATCCTACCAATAAATAATAGATTATTCCGTTTTGATTGAGTGGAAAGAGAAAAGACACTATGTTTTAGTGAAAGAAAGAACGAAAGAAAGAACGAAAGAAAGAAAGAAAGAAAGAAAGAAAGAAAGAAAGAAAGAAAGAACTAATTAATCCTACCAATAAATAATAGATTATTCCGTTTTGATTGAGTGGAAAGAGAAAAGACACTATGTTTTAGTGAAAGAAAGAAAGAAAGAAAGAAAGAAAGAAAGAAAGAAAGAAAGAACTAATTAATCCTACCAATAAATAATAGATTATTCCGTTTTGATTGAGTGGAAAGAGAAAAGACACTATGTTTTAGTGAAAAGAAAGAAAGAAAAGAAAAGAAAGAAAAGAAAGAAAGAAAAAAGAAAGAAAAGAAAGAAAGAAAGAAAGAAAGAAAGACAGAAAGACAGAAAGAAATCATGGGCGTATTTAAAAGAAAGAAAGAAAGAAAGACATCATGGGCGTATTTAAAAGAAAGAATGAAAGAAAGAAAGAAAGAAAGAAAGAAAAGAAAGAAAGAAAGAAAAGAAATAAAGAAAGCATAGGTGTATTTGAAAGAAAGAAAGAAAGAAAGAAAGAAAAAAAAGAAAGAAAGAAAGAAAGAAAGAAAGAGAGAAAGAGAGAAAGACAGAAAGAAATCATGGGCGTATTTAAAAGAAAGAAAGAAAGAAAGACATCATGGGCGTATTTAAAAGAAAGAAAGAAAGAAAGAAAGAAAAGAAAGAAAGAAAGAAAAGAAATAAAGAAAGCATAGGTGTATTTGAAAGAAAGAAAGAAAGAAAGAAAGAAAGAAAGAAAGAAAGAAAGAAAAAGAAAGAAAGAAAGAAAGAAAGAAAGAAAGAGAGAAAGACAGAAAGAAATCATGGGCGTATTTAAAAGAAAGAAAGAAAGAAAGAAAGACATCATGGGCGTATTTAAAAGAAAGAAAGAAAGAAAGAAAGAAAGAAAGAAAAGAAAGAAAGAAAGAAAGAAAGAAAGAAAGAAAAGAAAGAAAGAAAGAAAGAAAGAAAGAAAGAAAAGAAATAAAGAAAGCATAGGTGTATTTGAAAGAAAGAAAGAAAGAAAGAAAGAAAGAAAGAAAGAAAGAAAGAAAGAAAGAAAGACAGAAAGAAAAAGATAAAATATGAAATAAAAGAATGCGGTGGGGGAAAAAAAGGAAAAATAAAAACGTTTGAATCTAAAATGAAGGGAGGGAGAAAGAAAGCAAGAAAAAGGAATGATGAAAAAAGGGAACTTGAGAGAGGCGGAAAGAAGAAAAGGAATATATTAGTACGTTGGCTAAAAAAAGAAACAAAAATGAAACAAAGGAAAACGTAAAAGAAAAAAAAACGGAAAAACAAAGAAATGACAAAAAAGAAAGAGAATGAACGACGTAAAGAAATAAAAAAAGAAATACACTAGAAAGAAAGAAGAAAGAAAGAAAAAAGAAAAATAAAGCAAAAGACCTGTTAAAAGAAAAAAAATGAAAGACAAGGATAAAAAAAATAAATACACTAGAATATAGAATGAAAGACTAATGAAAGAAAGAAAAAAATGAATGAATGAGAAAAAGAGATCTAGAAAAAAGGAAGTAAATAAAGAAAGGAAAAAGATGAGAGAAATAATGAGAGATAAATGAAGAAAGAAAAAAGAAAGAATGAGTGAGAAAAAGAAAGAGAAAAGAAAGGCACTAGAATCTAGAATGAAAGATGAAAAGTAAGAAAGAATGATAGAAAGAAAAAAGAGATAAAAAGAAAGGAAAAGAAGACAAAAGAAAAAAGAATGAAAGAAGAAAAAGAAATACACTAAAATCTAAAAAAGAAAGATTGTCAAAGAAAAATAAAGAAAAAGAAAGAAAGAAAGAAAGAAAAGAAAGAAATGAAAGAAAGAAAAAGATTGAAAGAGAAAAAGAAAAAGAAAAAGAACAAGAAAGATTGAAAGAAAGAAAAAAGAAAGAAAAGAAAGAAATTGAAATTGAAAGAAAGAAAGAAAGAAAAGAAAGAAAGAAAGAAAGAAAGAATGAAAGAAACATTGAGCATAGATTGAAAGAAAGAAAGAAAGAAAGAAAGAAAGAAAGAAACATTGAGCAGAGATTGAAAGAAAGAAAGAAAAAAGAAAGAAACATTGAGCATAGATTGAAAGAAAGAAAGAAAGAAAGAAAGAAACATTGAGCATAGATTGAAAGAAAGAAAGAAAGAAAGAAAGAAAAGAAAGAAAGAAAGAAAAAAGAAAGAAAGAAAGAAAGAAACATTGAAAGATTGAAGAAAGAAAGAAAGAAAAAGAAAGAAACATTGATCATAGATTGAAAGAAAGAAAGAAGAAAGAAAATTGAAAGAAAGAAAGAAAGAAAGAAAAATGAAAAGATTGAGCATAGAAAGAAAGAAAGAAAAGAAAGAAAAGAGCAAGATTGAAAGAAAAAGAAAGAAAGAAAAAGCATAGAAAGAAAGAAAGAAAGAAAGAAAGAAACATTGAGAAGAGATTGAAAGAAAGAAAGAAAGAAAGAAAGAAAATTGAGCAGAGATTGAAAGAAAGAAAGAAAGAAACATTGAGCATAGATTGAAAGAAAGAAAGAAAGAAAGAAAGAAAGAAAGAAAGATTGAAAGAAAGAAAGAAAAGAAACATTGAGCAAAGATTGAAAGAAAAAAAGAAAGAAAGAAAAATGAAAGAAACATTAGAATCTAGATTGAAAGAAAGAAAGAAAGAAAGAAAGAAAGAAAGAAAGAAAAAAGAAAGATTGTGAAAGACGAAAAGAAAGAATGAAAGAAACATTGAGAATTGAAAGAAAGAAAGAAAAGAATGAAAGAAGAGATTGAAAAAGAAAAAAGAAAGAAAAGAAAGATTGAAAGAAAGAAAGAAAAAAATGAAAGAAAATTGAGCATAGATTGAAAGAAAAGAAAGAAAGAAAAAAGAAGAGAAAGAAAGAAAGAAAAGAAAGAAAGAAAGAAAAGAAAGATTGAAAGAAACATTGAGAAAGAAAGAAAAAAGAAAAAGAAACATTGAGCATAGATTGAAAGAAAGAAAAAAGAAAGAAAGAAAGAAAAAAGAAACATTGAAAGATTGAAAGAAAAAAGAAAGAAAGAAAGAGCAGAGATTGAAAGAAAGAAAGAAAGAAAGCATAGAAAAAAGATTGAAAGAAAAAAAAATTGAGAAGAGATTGAAAGAAAGAAAAGAAAGAAAGAAACATTGAGAATCATAGATTGAAAGAAAGAAAGAAAGAAAGAAAGAAAGAAAGAAAGATTGAAAGAAAAAGAAAGAAAATGAAAGAAAATTGAAAAGAAATTGATTGAAAGATTGAAAGAAAGAAAGAAAAAAAGAAAGAAAATTGAAAGAAAGAAAGAAAGAAAGAAAGAAAATTGAGAAATTGAAAAAAGAAAGAAAGAAAGAAAGAGATTGAAAGAAAGAAAGAAAGAAAGAAAGAAAGAAAGAAAGAAAGAAAGAAACAAAAGAAAGAAAGAAAGAAAGAATGAAAAAACAGAAGCATAGATTGAAAGAAAGAAAGAAAGAAAGAAAGAAACAAAGATTGAAAGAAAGAAAGAAAGAAAAAGATTGAGAAGAGATTGAAAGAAAAAAAAAAAGAAAGAAAGAAAGATTGAAAGAAAGAAAAAGAAAGAAAGAAAAAGAAAAGAGAAAAAAAGAAAAGATTGAAAAAGAAAGAAAAAAGAAAAAACATTGAGCATTAGATTGAGAAAGAAAGAAAGAAAGAAACATTGAAAGATTGAAAGAAAGAAGAAAGAAAGATTGAAAGAAAGAAAAAGAAAGAAAGAAAGATTGAGAAAGATTGAAAGAAAGAAAGAAAGAAAAGAAAAATGAAAGAAACATTAGATTGAAAGAAAGAAAAGAAAGAAAGAAAGAAAGAAAGAAAGAAAAGAAAGAAGAAAATGAAAAGATTGAAAGAAAGAAGAAAAGATTGAAAAAAGAAAGAAAGAAAGAAACATTGAAAGAAAGATTGAAAAGAAAGAAAGAAACAAAGATTGAAAGAAAGAAAGAAAGAAAGAATGAAAGAAACATTGAAAGAAGAAAAAAAGAAAGAAAAAAAGAAAAGAAAGAAAGAAAGAAAGAAGAAAGAAAGAAAAAAGAAAGAAAGAAAGAAAGAAAGAAATGAAAGAAACATTGAAAGAAAGAAAGAAAAAAAAAAGAAAAGAAAGAAAGAAAGAAAGAAAGAAAAGAAAGAAAGAAAAAAGAAAAAGATTGAAAGAAAGAAAGAAAGAATGAAAGAAACATTAGAAAGAGAAAAAAAAAGAAAGAAAATTGAAAGAAAGAAAGAAAGAAAGAAAGATTGAAAGAAAGATTTGAAAGAAAGAAAGAAAAAGAAAGAAACATTGAAAGAGATTGAAAGAAAGAAAGAAAGAAAAAGAAAGAAAAAAAAAGAGAAAGAAAATTGAAAGATTGAAAGAAAGAAAGAAAGAAAATTGAAAGATTGAAAGAAAGAATGAAAGAAACATTGAGCATAGATTGAAAGAAAGAAAGAAAGAAAGAAATGAAAGAAAGAAAGAAAGAAAGAAAGAAAGAAAGAAAGAAAGAAAGAAAATTGAGAAAGATTGAAAGAAAGAAAGAAAGAATGAAAGAAAAAGAGCATAGAAAGAAAGAAAGAAAGAAAGAAAGAAAAAGCAAGAGAAAGAAAGAAAGAAAAGAAAGAAAGAAAGAAAGAAAGAAAGAAAGAAAGAAAAAAAGAAAGAAACATTGAAAGAAAGAAAGGAAGAAAGAAAGAAACATTGAGCATAGATTGAAAGAAAGAAAGAAAAAGAAAGAAAAGAAAGAAAGAAAGAAAGAAAAAGAAAGATTGAAAGAAAAAAAAGAAAGAAAAGAAAGAAAGAAATTGAGCATAATTGAAAAGAAAAAAGAAAGAAAGATTGAAAGAAAGAAACAAAAGAGAAAAGATTGAAAGAAAGAAAGAAAAAAAAGAAAGATTGAAAATTAGATTGAAAGAAAGAAAGATTGAAAGAAAGAAAGAAAGAAAGAAAGAAAAAAAAAGAAGAAGAAAGAAAGAAAGAAGAAAGAAAAAGCAAGATTGAAAGAAAGAAAGAAAGAAATCTAGAGATTGAAAGAAAGAAAGAAAGAAAGAAAAGAAAAAGAAAGAAAGAAAGAAAGAAAGAAAAAGAAAGATTGAAAGAAAAGAAAGAAAGAAAGAAAGAAGATTGAAGAAAGAAAAGAAAGAAAGAAAGAAAGGAACATTGAGCATAGATTGAAAGAAAGAAAGAAAGAAAGAAACATTGAGCATAGATAGATTGAAAGAAAGAAAGAAAGAAAGAAAGAAACATTGAGCATAGATTGAAAGAAAGAAAGAAAGAAAGAAAGAAACATTGAGCATAGATTGAAAGAAAGAAAGAAAGAAACATTGAGAAGAGATTGAAAGAAAGAAAGAAAGAAAGAAACATTGAGCATAGATTGAAAAAGAAAGAAAGAAAGAAACATTGAGCATAGATTGAAAGAAAGAAAGAAAGAAAGAAAGAAAGAAAAGAATGAAAGAAACATTGAGCATAGATTGAAAGAAAGAAAGAAAGAAAGAAAGAAAGAAAGAAAAGAAAGAAAAGAGAAAGAAAGAAAGAAAAAATGAAAGAAAGAAAGAGAAAGAAAGAAAGAATGAAAGAAACATTGAGCACAGATTGAAAGAAAGAAAGAAAGAAAGAAACATTGAGCATAGATTGAAAGAAAGAAAAAAAGAAAGAAAGAAAAGAGAAAGAAAGAAAGAAAGAAAGAAAAAGAAAGATTGAAAGAAAGAAAGAAAAAGATTGAAAGAAAGAAAGAAAAAAGAAAGAAAAAGATAAGATTGAAAGAAAGAAAGAAAGAAATGAAAGAAAGAAAGAAAGAAAGATTGAAAGAAAAGAAAAAAGAAAGAAAAAAGAAACATTGAGAGATTGATTGAAAAAAGAAAGAAAGAAAGAAAAGAAAAGAAAGAAAGAAAGAAAGAAAGAAAGAAAATTGAAGATTGAAAGAAAGAAAGAAAGAAACATTGAAAGAGATTGAAAGAAAAGAAAAAGAAAGAAAAGAAAGAAAGAAAGAAAAAAAAGAAAGAAAGATTGAGAAAGAAAGAAAGAAAGAAAAAGAAAGAAACATTGAGCATAGATTGAAAGAAAGAAAAAGAAAGAAAATTGAAAAGAAAGAAAGAAAGAAAGAAAAAGAAAAGAAAGATTGAAAAAGAAAGAAGAATGAAAGAAAATTGATTAGAAGAAAGAAAGAAAGAAAGAAAGAAAGAAACATTGAGCAAAGATTGAAAGAAAGAAAGAAAAAGAAAAAAAGAAAGAAAGAAAGAAAGAAAGAAAGAAAGAAAGAAAAGAAAGCATAGATTGAAAGAAAGAAAGAAAGAATTGATTGAAAGAAAAAAAGAAAGATTGAAAGAAATAAAGAAAGAAACATTGAGCAGAGATTGAAAGAAAGAAAGAAAGAAAAAGAAACATTGAGCAGAGATAGAAAGAAAGAAAGAAAGAATGAAAGAATCTAGATTGAAAGAAAAAGAAAGAAAGAAAGAAAAGAAAGAAGAAAGAAAGAAAAAAGAAAGAAAAGAAAGAAAAATTGAAAGATTGAAAGAAAGAAAGAAAAGAAACATTGGAAAGAAAGATTGAAAGAAAGAAAGAAAGAAAGAAAGAAAAGAAAGAAAAGAAAAAAGAAAGAAAAAGAAATATTGAAAGAAAGAAAGAAAAAAAGAAACAAGCATAGATTGAAAGAAAGAAAGAAAGAAAAAAATAGAAGAAAGAAAGAAAGAAAGAAAAAACATTGAGCATAGAAGAAAGAAAGAAAGAAAGAAAGAAAGATTGAAAGATTGAAAAAAGAAAGAAAGAAAGAAAGCAAAGAAAGAAAGAAAGAAAGAATGAAAGAAACATTGAGCATAGATTGAAAGAAAGAAAGAAAGAAAGAAAGATTGAAAGAAGAAAGAAAGAAAGAAAGAAAGAAAGAAACATTGAGCATAGATTGAAAGAAAGAAAGAAAGAAAGAAAGAAACATTGAGCATAGATTGAAAGAAAGAAAGAAAGAATGAAAGAAACATTGAGCATAGATTGAAAGAAAGAAAAGAAAGAAACATTGAGAAGAGATTGAAAGAAAGAAAGAAAGAAAAAAGAAAACATTAGAATTGAAAGAAAGAAAGAAAGAAAGAAAGAAACATTGAGAAAAAAGAAAGAAAGAAAGAAAGAAAGAAAGAATGAAAAAGATTGAGCAAAGAAAGAAAGAAAAAAGAAAAATTGAAAGAAAGATTGAGCATAGAAATTGAAAGAAAGAAAATTGAATAGAAAGAAAAAGAAAGAAAGAAAAAGAGATTTGAAAGAAAGAAAAGAAAGAAAGAAACATTAGAATCTAGATTGAAAAAGAAAGAAACATTGAAATAAGAAAAAGAAAAAAAGAAAGAAAGAAAGAAAAAAGAAACATTGAGCATAGATTGAAAGAAAAAGAAAGAAAGAAAAAGAAAGAAAGAAACATTGAAAGAAAAGAAAGAAAGAAAGAAAGAAAGAAACATTGAGAAAGATTGAAGAAAAGAAAGAAAGAATGAAAGAAAGAAAGATTGAAAGAAAGAAAGAAAGAAAGAAAGAAAGAAAAGAATTGAAAGAAAAAAGAAAGATTGAGCAGAAAGAAAGAAAGAAAGAAAGAAAGAAAGAAAGAAACATTTGATTGAAAGAAAGAAAAAGAAAGAAAGAAAAGAATTGAAAAGAAAGAAAGAAAGAAAGAAAGAAAAGAAAGAATGAAAGAAACATTGAGCATAGATTGAAAGAAAGAAAGAAAGAAACATTGAGCATAGATTGAAAGAAAGAAAGAAAGAAACATTGAGAATAGATTGAAAGAAAGAAAGAAAGAAAGAAAGAAAGAAAGAAAGAAAGAAACATTGAGCATAGATTGAAAGAAAGAAAGAAAGAAAGAAACATTGAGCATAGATTGAAAGAAAGAAAGAAAGAAAGAAACAAGCAAATTGAAAGAAAGAAAAAAAAGAAAGAAACATTGAGAAGAGAAAGAAAAAGAAAAAGAAAGAAACATTGAGAATAGATTGAAAGAAAAAAGAAAGAAAGAAAATTGAAAGATTGAAAGAAAAAAAGAAAGAAAAATGAAAAAGACGAATAAAAAAAAAAGAAAGAAAGAAAGAAAACATTGAAAGATTGAAAGAAAGAAAGAAAGAAAGAAAGAAAGAAAGAAAGAGAAAAAATGCCGAAAGAAAATAAAATAAAGAATAAGAAAAAGAAAGATAAGGAAATGCACTGGAATCAAGAATGAAAGAACGAAAGGAAAGAAAAAGAAAGAAAGAATCAATGAGAAATAAAAGAAATTCCACTAGAATATATAAAGAAAGAAAGAAAGAAAGAAAGAAAGAAAGAAAAAAGAAAAAAGAAAGAAAGAATGAGAGAGAAAATGAAATAAAAAAATATATACATTACAATCTAGAATAAAAGATTAATGAAAGAAAGCAAAAAAAGAAAGAAAGCAAAAGAAAAAACTGTAAGTAGATAAGACTAGAAGGAAGGAAGCAAAGAACGAACGAACGGGCTGTTTTCGTTCGTAATATTAAAATAGGTAGAATCTTCCCGATTTGGGTATAATTAAGACTCAACTATTTTCTACCCTGAAGTATAAAGTCATTAGCTCCAGTCATATATCAGAGTTTATTCTGGTTTAGACAAAGTGAAACCATTCTGAGAGGCCTTTAATCTGTGGTGTTACAGCGGACATATTCCATATGTAATCGACGCTTGTTAAGGACTATTCTTTTGCGTGGGTGATAGTCAAATTTCGTTTGTATTTTAAATCTTAAGATTAAATTAAAAAAAATAAATAATATTAATTATATGAACCTAAACGTGGCAATAGAATCTTTCAAGGTAATTCCGTTTTCTAACCATCAAGCCATACCCTGAACCAGCGTGGAGCTCTGTGGTTTGTGGATATATGAGACAAGCTTTTGGGTGAGGATAGCAGATGTAGTTTCAGCGTTACAGACATCAGGCACATATGAAGCACGCGCTTACACGGATATAAAGGCAAGGTGAAATATTTGGGCTGATTTCGGGACAGATAAAACTCGCACTCGAGATGCGCGTCTCACTACCTGCGTGAATAGTTGCCGTGTCGTGGCTCGGTTATATTTGTAGACAAGAACGCCAAATTCTGTCAGTACCAATGACGCTGTTGCTTGAGGCGTTGACGTAGATACTGAACAACTCCCTCTCAACCAGGACCCATTGCATGCCTTTATCCACAACGGCACACTGCCTTGCCCCTTCCATTAATACGGGTACACAGATGGTGCAAAAGTATGTGGTGTATTAAGGTTTTCTATTGCGGAACTTTTTTCTTTTCTTTCTTTCTACATTCTACAAACGTTTCATTTCATTCTTTCTGTCTTTCTTTCTTTCTTTCTTTCTTTTTCTTTTCTTTCATTCCTTTTTGTCTTCCTTTCTTTCCAAACTCTAGTGACGTTTTCATACATTCTTTCTTTCTTTTTCAAGAAGTGTCATTCTTTCTTTCTTTCTTTCTTTCTTTCTTTCTTTTTCTTTCTTTCTTTTTCACTTTCTTTCTTTCTACACTCTAGCGACGTTGTCATACATTCTTTCTTTTTCTTTCTTTCTTTTTCTTTCTTTCTTTCTTTCTTTTTCTTTCTTTCTTTCTACACTCTAGCGACGTTGTCATACATTCTTTCTTTTTCTTTCTTTCTTTCTTTCTTTCTTTTTCTTTCTTTTTTCTTTCTTTCTACACTCTAGCGACGTTGTCATACATTCTTCCTTTTTCTTTCTTTCTTTCTTTTTCTTTCTTTTTTCTTTCTTTCTACACTCTAGCGACGTTGTCATACATTCTTCCTTTTTCTTTCTTTCTTTCTTTCTTTCTTTCTTTCTATTTATTCTTTCTTTCTTTCTACACTTTAGCGATGTTGTCATACATTCTTCCTTTTTCTTTCTTTCTTTCTTTCTTTCTTTTTCTTTCTTTCTTTCCTTCTTTCTTTCTTTCTTTCTACACTCCAGCGACGTTGTCAGACACTCTTCCTTTTTCTTTCTTTCTTTCTTTCTTTCTTTCTTTCTTTCTTTCTTTCTTTCTTTCTTTCTACACTCTAGTGACGTTGTCGTAGATTCTTCCGTTTTCTTTCTTTCTTTTTCTTTCTTTCTTTCTACACTCTAGCGACATTGTCATACATTCTTTCTTTTTCTTTCTTTTCTTTCTTTTTCTTTCTTTCTTTCTTTCTTTCTTTCTTTCTTTCTAGACTCTAGCGACATTGTCATACATTCTTTCTTTTTCTTTCTTTCTTTCTTTCTTTCTTTCTTCATTCTATCGACATTTTCATTCTTTCTCTTTCTTTTTACACTCTTCATTCTAACGACATATTTCTTTTTTTATTATCATGCTTTCTTGCTTTCTACACTCGAGCGACATTTTCTTCTAATCTCTCTGTTTTCTTGCTAGATTCTATCTTTATTTTTTCTACACCCAGGTAAAATTTTTCTTTCTTTCACTCTCTTTTACGCTCTCTTTCTTTCTTTATCTTGTTCTTTCTTTTCTTTCTTCATGCAATATCACGTCTTTCCTTTACCTAATTTCATTCTCTTCTTTCAGTCATTACTCCGTTCACACTTTCTTTCTATTACTTTCTCCCTCTTTTTCAATTTCTCTCTCTCTCTCTCTGTCCTTCTTTCTTTCTTTTTTCTTTCTTTCTTTAACGCTCTTTTTCTCTTAGTATTCATTTTACTTTTTCTTTCTCCCTCCCTTTGTATATTTTCTTTCGTTTTTCCGTTTTGACACTCTTTCTTTCAATCTTTAAATTGTTCTTTTTTTCTTTCTTCTTTTCACCGTCTATTTCTCTCTTGCTCTCTTTTATACTTACTCTTTCCTTCGCATTCTCCTTCTTTGTTTGTTTCTTTCTTTCTCTATCTATCTTTTTTCTTTCTTTTTTTCTCCCTGACTTATTTACTTACTTTCTTTCTTTCTTTCTTTCTTTCTTTCTTTCTTTCTTTCTTTCTCCCTGACTTATTTACTTTCTTTCTTTCTTTCTTTCTTTCTTTTTCTCCCTGTACTTAACTTTCTTATTTTTTTTCACTTTTCTTTTCTTTCTTTCTTCTTTCTTTCTTTCTTTCTTTCTTTCTTTCTTTTTCCCTGACTTATTTACTTACTTTCTTTCTTTCTTTCTTTCTTCTTTTTCTTTCTTTCTTTCTTTCTTTCTTTCTTTCTTTCTTTTTCCCTTTTTCTTTCTTTCTTTCTTTTTTTTTTCTTTTTTTTCTCTCCCTGACTTATTTTATTTACTTTCTTTCTTTCTTTCTTTCTTTCTTCTTTTCTTTTTTCTTTCTTTCTTTCTTTTCCCTGACTTATTTTCTTTCTTTCTTTCTTTCTTTCTTTCTTTCTTTCTTTCTTTCTTTCTTTCTTTTTCTCTCCCTGACTTATTTACTTACTTTCTTTCTTTCTTTCTTTCTTTCTTTCTTTCTTTTTCTCTCCCTGACTTATTTACTTACTTTTTTCTTTCTTTCTTTCTTTCTTTCTTTCTTTCTTTCTTTCTTTCTTTCTTTCTTTCTTTCTTTTCCCTGACTTATTTACTTTCTTTCTTTCTTTCTTTCTTTCTTTTCTCTCCCTGACTTATTTACTTTCTTTCTTTTCTTTCTTTCTTTCTTTTTTCTTTTTCTTTTTTCTCCTTTTCTCTCCCTATTTATTTACTTTCTTTCTTTCTTTCTTTCTTTCTTTCTTTCTTTCTCCCTGACTTATTTACTTACTTTCTTTCTTTCTTTCTTTCTTTTTCTCTCCCTGACTTACTTACTTTCTTTCTTTCTTTTGCCGTATCACTCTCTCTTGCTTACAGTTTTTAATCTTTTTTCTACAGTTTGATGAACACACAAAATGCATTTCATGACACTCTTTTTCAAATAACCAAGAGGACACGACAAAACATTTAAACGCTGCATCGAGGAATAGACTCCCGAGAGGATACTTACCTGATCACTACAGTCGTAAACATTTCAAGTCTAAGATCAACGGCTATCTTTCCTACATTTCTTAATAATCTGCATTTCTTATCTCCTCTTACTTCATACAACAACCTCATTCTGTAACACTCTAACTTGAGTGGCTCTTGGATCTTTTATTAGTTAAAGAAAGAATATTACCCCATTTTTTTTATTTTGCGAAGAGTGACTTGCATTTAATGCTATATTTATCTGTTAGGTTGAATCATAAATAATTTCCGTTTTTGTTTATCAACATTATTTTATAAAAATAAAACCGATTTCATTTTATTAACGTATATATTCGCAATTATTTTATCTACTTATCAGGCAGCTCTTTCATACCATTCAACTAAAAATTCGCAGGTTTTGATGAGAAAAGGTTTTCGACAAAGAAATGAAAAAATTAAAATTTGCCAAGAAAAAATTACAAATTAAAAAAAGGAAACAAACATTATTAAATAAAATATTTTCTCCATCGGAGAACAGGAATTTGAAGTGTCTAAAAGAAAAAAAGAAAAAAAAAGATTGTTGCTGATAACTGACTTAAATTTTCATCCTTGCAATCTAAAAATGCCGGAATTTGTCTAACACATCTTGCTAAATATACTGATCGATCACAATTTTTATAACGACTGCAGTAGTAGCTGAAACGACTGTAGTAATAGTTGAAAGCACTATGCACAGTTGAACATTTTTCATCCTGATGTAAAACACACTGTCGGAAGCAGTGGGAAAGACAAAATAAAAATATGAAATGTTATGCCGACAGGTATTCTCGAGGTTATTTAATAAAACCCGTTTGCATGAATTCTTGCTATACACCGTAATATATATATATATATATATATATATATATATATATATATATATATGGTTCTCTCCCGTCGAGATGCGACTGAAATGCACAGAAACGAAGTTGCATCTTTGTAGTAATAAGCTGTTTTGGTCTATATGATAAAATTATAATTATCGCTCTACTATCGGTATCGAGCCCTCTTTTGTATTAATATAAAATTTATATATTACCTTCCTTCTCATGGCATCGGATATATATATATATTAAAGACATTTTTATGTTTAACGTTGTTTTTTATAGATACAAGTATTTAAGCAAATGCTCTGTTTATGATAAACAGTATTAAATAACATTTACCGGCCTGAATGTCCGAGAAATTTTCATAGAAAATATTCGTCCTTTGACAGGATTCGAACCTGCATCCAATACGGAACCGTCATTTACGCTGACGTGCCTAACCTCTCGGCCACAAAGGAGCGTTCGGTAGACAAGGTCGAATTTACTGCTTATAAACTTCAATCTTTCATGAATCTCGTACATTCATAACTGCTCTGGCGTATCAAATGTAAACAAATGACGTCATATATTAAGAAATGGACAAAAGTCGAGAAATTTTCATAGAAAATATTCGTCCTTTGACAGGATTCGAATCTGCATCCTATACGGAACCGTCATTTACTCTGACGTGCCTTACCGACCGGCCACAAAGGAGCGTTCGGTAGACAAGGTCGAATTTACTACTTATAAACTTCAATCTTCCATGAATCTCGTACATTCATAACTGCTCTGACGTATCAAATGTAAACAAATGACGTCATATATTAAGAAATGGACATATCATAAACAGAGCATTTACTTAAATACTTGTATCTATAAAAAACAACGTTAAACATAAAATGTCTTTAATAAATAAATTGTCGGACTTTGTCCATTTTTCTATATATATATATATATATATATATATATATATATATATATATATATATATATAGAGAGAGAGAGAGAGAGAGAGAGAAGAGAGAGAGAGATAATATAAATTCCGTACGTGGAAAAGATAATCCAAGTAGGTAATTTTAATATAAAATATTAAAAAGACAGCCATGAAAAGAGCCGAATATATTATACAGGGTAATATGATATACATTAAAAGAAAAAACTTAAACAGATCATCAAAAATCCGGTAATAAATTTATTTCAGGGCATAAGTTTGATACTTGCCTCATCAGACCGAAATTATATATATATATATATATATATATATATATATATATATATATATATATATATAAATAAAATTTAAATAAAAACGGACCACTTTAAAGGTTCCACACAATATAAATTATTTCAGCACAGCCCTTTCAAAGCTTTCATTGAGCTCTCTGGATTTTATCCTCCTTAGGTTTACCCATACGGATTACCTAGTTTTTCATAAACTATATATATATATATATATTCAAACATGGTCCATTGAAAAATATAGACATATTGTCTTACACTCTTACAAACTTCAGAGACACATTCCTGTCCACCTTCAAAATACAGGAATATACTTGTTGACAGCAGCTATATACTACATCATGAAAAGCTCCCTTACATTATGGACGCTTGTTTACAAGAAAATACCATTAGCTACAACGGATAAATTTAAAATTTAAAAATAATTATAACACGTTCACGCGTGTTTTCAAAAATAAACATGACAACAATCACAGTTTTTTCTTCGCAGTTCACCCTTGAGGATGATCTCGGAAGATATAGAAAGTACTTGGGTTAAAAAAACTATGGTACCTTCCTTGATGAATTTCAACTCAACATCAAGAAGCTAATTAGAAAAATAGAAAGGATTGTTATAAAAACAAAAAAAGATATATTATTCAGTGGATCATATTTGAATGAAGATATGCTGCCTAAATATGCATATATGTATATGTGTATATATATATATATATATATATATATATATATATATATATATATATATATATATATATATATATATATATATGAAATTTAGAGACAACAGATATATTAAATATTAAAATAATATTAAATGCAGAACGTTAATAATATTATATAAAAAAAATTAACTTTAATATTAATTTTTTTGTTGCTTTTCCCCTGGAGATAGACTACGAAGTTTCTTAGTAATGACCATTCTTCAAGGGGTTCTGTTTTTTTAAAAAAAAAAACAGGAAAATAAAGATTTTTTTTATCTTCAAAACCTTTGGTGTTGACAAAACTCGGAAGATTAATCTCTTACGGGGAGAAATGGCCATAAAATGGGCTATTGAATTTCATCTATATAGAAATTATATATATATGCTCTGTAATAAATACATTGAGCTTTCTTTGTGGATCAGTTTTAATATTTTACATTATTAGTATTCACTTGGATTATCTACCAACAGATTATTACCTATATATATATATATATATATATATATATATATATATATATATATATATATATATATATATATATTCGTGTGTGCGTGGTGTGGGTGGTGTGCGTGTGTGTGTGTAAATTATTTTCAGGTAGAGAATATCTGTAAAGGAACAAAATAAATAAAAAGAAAAGAGGAAAAACTATTCTTAGCCCACATGTTTCATCCGCTGAGGGACTTTATCGAGGCAAGTTTTGTTTATACGCGGGAGCGAGGATGTCATTGATTTAAAAATTTTAAGTTTTTAAATTTGAGAGCCTTCATGAATCTTTATCAAGTGGTTGAAATGTCAGTCAAAACATGTGAGGACACAAAGTGCTATAATTCTTTTAATGCATTTTTTCTCATATCTTATATTACTGAAGAAATCTTGTAGATTTGGGTAAGTTGTTGATCACGATTAAAAATTTAGAGGTTTTGTAGATGGCTTTTTTGGCAAAAACTGTGTTCATTGGGTATGACTACATTCCTATTTAAACCTAGAATGTTTGAATTCATTTTAAAAATGTAATTTAACTCGGAAATTCCGTGTCCTTGTTGGCATTTAAACGAAGACATTAAAATGGCGCATCCAACCTTATCAATAGTCTGGTTCGTTTGGTTGAAATGTGCAGCTACAGTGAAATATATAGCAAGGATTCATTGAAACAAGTTTGAATATACAGGGTGATTGAATAATAACTCTCCATTTTAAAATAGTTATAATTTATTTATTAACTATAATTTTTACAACAAATGGATATGATAGGAAAGCGTTTAGCATGAGATTTTATTTAAAATCCGATATGGGAACC